GGAAACCAAGTATATGAATAACAAGAAGGAAACTGATGGAGTGCAGACTTCTGTCAGTCCAACCCTGACCCTGTCTGCAGTTTTGATCCAGATCTACACAGGTGGTTCTGCCTTTGCTCATGCTTCACCTCTGGACCAGGTTTCATGAATTTCAGCCTTGTACTTATTGCATAATCTTGCTGACACACACACAGGAGCAGTGAAGACATTGCCTCCTTCTAACAGGCTGCTATATATTTTAGTGAGGATCATGTTCCATGATGCAGTGTCAATAAAACAGCACCAGACAAACTCAAACAGCAAAAAACAATGTAGGAAACACCTGCTTTGTGCATTATGGTGACGTCTTCGTCTACTTTTCCTTCCTTCCTCCATGCTTCACGGATTTATTGACTGAGTCTGTTTAAACTGTTGACACTAGTTTTGTTCATGCGTCAGCCTTTACAGCTGAAGCCAGACTTCCTACTGATGGAGCTGGTTTTTATGTGCATACAGAAAGTGAAGACACTGTCTAAGCTGTGTTTCTGTTGTTAATGAAAGATCTCAGACTGACCAACACGAGCCAACGCAGTCAGCAGTTCCATAACCTCCGTCACCTCCGTCACCTCCACGTTTTTAACTGATTATTTATTCTTACATTTTATATCATTGATTTATTTATTTTTTTGAAATGTCGATATTTTAAGTGTATGTTGGATTTCTGTATTTTGTAGTGGAACTGTAATAATTACTGATGAATGTTGTCTGTGAGACATTATAAAAACAGAAGTTGCATTGACAAAACACCAGAAGTGTTTTTCCATGGGGCTTGACTTTGAAATGCCACATCAGACCGGGCTGCTGCTGTGTGAGTGACGTCCTGACTCGGCCTCCTACCAGTCTGACATGGGAGGGGTTTGTGATAACAGGGGCATTTCTATTAATAGTAGTCTGAAGTTAGAGGGAATACATCCCAGATGTGCTGTTTTGGTGGGCTCTTATTTTGAAATGCCACATCATTTCACATGTCTGTGTTCAGAAACAGCAGCAGACAAAAGTGAGAAAAGTAAGATAACAGAGTAGAGAAGACCAGGTGTGCAGCCGCCGGCCCTCCACTCGACAGCTCTACTGCACACAACAGTCAGAACACCTGGGAGAGAGTGTGAGGGTGTGTGTTTGTGTGTGAGCAGAGTTTGAAGGAGGTGCATTACCTCGGTGCAAGAGGAAGGGTTTGGTGTAATCCCGGCTGGTGTTGTCGTTGCGGACGACGTTCAGTCTGTTGGGCTGCAGGGGGCGACAGAGCACAGCACCTCTGGTGGGCGTGTGTGCGTGGGCAGAGAGTGCAGGTGTGTGTTTGTGTGCACCTGAATGGAAGTTGGTTAACAGCACTGTATGTGTGTATCTGTGTGTGTGTGTGTGTGTGTGTGTGTGTGTGTGTGTTTACCCGAGCGTATTCGATCTTGAGCGTGCAGCAGCCGGCGTAGATGTCGGCTCCGTTCAGAGCCAGTTTTGCCTTCTGAGCGTCCTCCACTGACTCAAATGTTAACATGCTGGTTAAGGAAGACTCACCAGGAAACCTGTGGAGGCAGTATGGCAGCAGAACTACCTGTCCATGGGTATGGAGGTCGTCTGTCTGTATCGCAATCCAAAGTGACATTTGTCAGTGTGTACAAGAAGGTGTCAGTGCTACAATTCTACAATTTCATTCAGCAGACGCTTTTATCCAAAGCGACGTACGTCTGAGAGCAGATACAACACCAGCAGGGATCAAGTCAGGAGAGAACAATCTAGATCAGTGCCATGGAACAATCCGAAACCGGAATCGACAAAAGTCGTCTCACAATTCAACAGGACAAGTTAAACTGGCCTTCCTCTTCTGCCCTCCTGCGTTCGTCGTCATCCTGCACGTCATCCAGCTGTCAGTCTATGAAGCTCTGAAGTGCAGCTTCGTGGAGTTGACCTGAGTGTGATTGTGTTTGTCCTGAGCGAGGGCTGCACCGTGATCCCAACCCACCACCCTGGTGAGGATGACACGGTTTATAGCTGTGAAATACTTTAAACACACACAGAACTGCTCAGACAGTCAGGATATTCCACCATGGCCTGGATGCCGTTGCGTTTGAAGATGACGATGCGCAGGACGTTGCCGACAGGGTTACAGACGGTGTACAACACATCCTAAGACAGAGAGGCAGAGATAGAGCACAGTTGTCAGGTTGTGTGTTGCACAACAAACAGCGTGGCTACGTGTGACGTTAGCTTAATAGCATAGCAGACAGGCTGTATGAGGTGATACGGTAAAGAGCACAGAGTGTACAGAAAGGACAGATGTCTCCCAGTCTGAGCAGTGAATCCACCCAGGAAGGACCTCGAACCTGCATTATTATTTTTTTTGTAAGTTATTTTTTTGGCCTTTATTAGACAGGACAGTTGAGAGAGAGACAGGAAAATGTGGGAAGGATGCAGCACAGGGCCATGAGCGGGAATCGAACCCACGGCCGCTGCATCGGGGACTCCAGCCCCAGTACCTGGTCACCAGCTCAACCAGGTGAGCTACAGCGACGGCCCAAACCTGCATTATGTTTAAGAACGTGCAGCAAAGAAGTCTGACTGTGTAGCAGTCTATGAGGACCCTGCTTCTCCTCCGATGTCCCGTTAACGTTTTCCTGATGAATGGTCTCAAGGGCTAGTTTAAAACATGTTGAATACAGCACGATGTTCATTTTGTAAATCATGGTCCCATTTAGAGCAAAATATACAGACAAACAGGTGATTCTTCTTCTCTGATTTATATGTCTATGAACAGCAAGAAGAGACCAGGGAATCTTTTCCCTCATTCACAACCAACCCCGATAAGCTGCTCGGTGTCAGCTTCACGTCAGACTAAATGAACCCTCGGCCTGATCTTGAAGGACACTGCTGGTACGACAGCAGCCTGTCCATCACAGCGTAGCCCCACCCTGAAACATACCAAATAGCAGGTGTGACTGCTTTGAGTTTAGGATGCTGTGGGCAGAGCAGAGGTTTCTGGCTACGTACAAGAGGCTTAGATAAACCAAGAAGTTAAGGTCGGACAGAATTCTTGGGGGAGAAAATTGATGTAGGATGGAGACAGTTGTGTTTGGGAGGTTTGTCCCAGACGGAAGAAAGTTTCTGTTTCAAGAAATATAAAAGAGATTTTAAAAAATGACAACAGGAAGGAGTGTGAGGTAAAGTAGAGGAGGCGCTGGTGGACTCACGGTGGTGATGGGGTACAGCGGGTTCTGGATGGACAGCAGCAGGACCTTGTTTCCGCTTCTGGGATCGTCTGCGTTGGTGGGCCGGGTGATCCGCTGACTGGTGGAGAAGTTGAAGAAGGCCTGCTGCTCGGCAATGTAGACGGCTTCACGGGTTCCACACGACACGCAGCGTTCAGCGCTCTCCACGCTGTCAAACTCCACCAGAGCCTGACGCTTAAACGGCATCATCATCACGTAGCTGATGGCAGAGGAGACGGCTGTCAGAGGAGCCAGACACTCAGGTGGACAGATCCTTCAGGTCAAAGCTGCTGATCATTCACCGACCCAGTAAAGGGTTCAGAAGTCTGGCTGAACTCAGAGCGTGTCAGTTGGTTTGTGGTGAGTTTACAATATTAGCACAAGCTTTTGCAAAGATTATAAAGGGGTTTGACATCATCTGCTGTTGGATTAGCAGCCAGATAGTGGGCCCTGAAAACCCCCAAACTGTGTGATAGCGCCTCACTGGTTCATCGGTTACTTGTTTAAAGAGGCCAGAATTAGCTTTTTGAGGTTCCCCCTTTCGTTCAGTTTGTTACAGCTTTTCTGCGAAAGGTCCCCACCAACAAAGTGTACAAGACTGTGGGAGAAGGTTCTTGGTCATCCACACCTTTATGCTTCATCACTGAAGCAGCTGCTGCAGGACTTTGGGCTGCTTTCATGTGTACATGCTCGCCAGTGACAGAGCCCAGACATGGTGGGAATTTCCAGTTTCTCCATAAACCCTATGTTCAGCACAGGATTCATCTCTGACTGTGAAAACTGTGACTTTACAGTCTTTCAGACACATGTGAGCCTTGTATGTTCTTCTGTGTTTGACAGGAGGGCCAACAAACAGAACGTCTGCCACGTCCACTTTAAATGTGTGTCCCAGAATCCACTGTTTTTTCCAAGTGACACGAGTCGCTCATCAACCAGAACCTGATTCAGATACAGGTGTGAAATCAAGAGCAGTTCATTACAACAGTTCTGTCACAGCTTTAATGAAGCTTCTACGTGTTGTCAACAGGATGAGATTTCCACTTTCTGTATATTGCTGACGGCCCAGTGGGTGGTTCTGGACCGCATTACATCATGTGTCGCATATTTACTGCATTAGTTTCTTATAGAGATGAATGATTTAAGCAGATTGCGCCGTTATATTTGATGGCACAGGTGTCTCGAGGCTCATAACGAGGTTTTATATAAATAAATAAATCTTTGCTGACTTCGTGGACTTACAACTGAAAGAATTACAGCGATAAACGGACGCATGTACGTCAAAGGCCATCGGTACCGATCCTCACGTTCCTGCTGCTGACACGGTGCTGACTCTGATGCTGAGCCTGATACTGGCAGCAAAGGTGGCAGCGAAGAAACAGGAAGAAGCTTCTGAGCTACAGCGTGATGATCTGTGAGAGCTGACGGTGCAGCACAGCAAAGCAGATCAGAGGAAGTGGTGGTGACGTGCATTAAAACTAGACCGCTGTGGTGAACGTGAATCATTTTGAGATGGACAGCAGAAACACACCAGACCACGCAGCCTGAGGTTCACATGCATAGAGGTCTGAGTAGTTAAAGCTCGCCCCCCCACAGCCCAGAAAAAGCAGCGCTGCACATGTGTAACCAGCGCTGCTGCATCTGTCAGCTGACCTGCCTCGTGTGATTCGACTTGTACTGACGATGGTCATAAAGCACAGCAGCATGTGTGTTTTAAAGGTAATGAAACACTATTTAAAGATGAAATGGAGGTGAGCAGTATTTAAAGGTCAAGCGCTACCAGATGTTGCCGAACTTGTCGAGGGCCTCCACCAGGTCGGCCTCCACCACGGCGTCGCACAGCCCGCGGACGTGGATGACCGGGGACGGGGGGATGCGGTGACTGTCCTCCACAGCATCCTGCAGAGACAACAACAGAACTGCTTGGACTGGTTCTGGATGCTGTACGTGGGCTCCAGGGGCCACAGAGTGCCGTTAAACTGTTGCTTTAACCACAGTCATGATGTGATGGTCACGGTGGCGCTACAAACCCTGGACACTCGTGTTGTGTTGCTACGGCAACGCCCCGCTGTCAGAACGACAACAATAAATAAGTTTCTAGTGCCACAAGAAACCTGCTCAACTTCAACTTTCTTTTCTTATTACAGCTGGGAATATGTGTTATTTTGATATATTCTGTCCCTTTTGTGACAAAACAGATTCCTTAGTTTTCACATCATGTTATTTTATCTCATTAAACCTTTTGTGTCAACAGACAGCCCTGTGACCCACACATGTGGTTCAGAAGGTTCAGATCTTATGGGTGTGAGTCAGCGCCCCAGTGGGCCCCGAATGCTGTAGCAGCACAAACAGGACTTAGACAGTATCAGGGAGGTGCATTCATGGACAGATGTGGGACTGGAAGTCAGGCTTGTACATTTTTTCAAACATGATGAAACAGCTCACACCATGTAAAGGCAGCGCTGCACAAACACCACACGGGGAGAGAATCAGCAAAGCTCTGGCCACAAGGCTTCATGTATGTAGCCCCCTGGTGCTGGGACCCCACAAAGACAGACAAAACAAGACCACAC